CTCCGTCGGATTGGAAAACTCGCAGTTAAATCCTTTTCTCCTTCCGCAATTTACCAAGCTGGCATACTTCGCCATTACAACACTCGGTACCGGCGACCTTGCGATTTCTTCACCTATCCTCTCCCAACGAGCCGCGGCATCAATGCCCATCAATTGGCCATCGCCCGACAGTTCGACAGAGGCGGATACGACTATCCGCAAGCGTAAGTTCGCGGAGACGGCTGCCAATATGACTTCCGTCGAAAAACACGATACGAACACTCCTTGTATCAAGGACGCGAGCAAGATGGCTGTTTCCCAATCACACAACGGCCGCGACGCCAAATCTAGTGAGTCCCTTCTATGGTGGCTGCCTGGAAAGCTTTGTTCGTGGTTTCAAATACTGACAGTCATGTCCTTGCCCAGTAACGCCCAAACATGTCAGAATCCAGTCAACCCCGAGCACCAGCAGCCCGGATTCATTGACCGACGACGACATCGACTCGAGTCGCAATTCTCCCTCTCCGAACCCCACCCCGTCCGACCGGTCACCCACCCGAAATCAAAATGGCTGTTCTTCTTCCACCGGCTCGAAGAAAACCCGAGGTCCCGTACCCGCCTCTTCATCTTCTCGAAATGCCGCGGCTACTGCCTCTCGGGTCCCCTCGACCAGTCTAAAGCGGAAACGTCGAACAGCCGAAGAGAAGAAGGCTGAAGAAGAGGAGAAGGAGAGGAAGCAGAAGGAGAAGGAGCAGAGGAAGAAGGAGGCAGAGGAGAACAAGGCGAAAGAGGAAGCCGAGAAACAGGCTCGTCTCCAAGAAAAGAACGAAAAGAAGGCCAAAATCGAGGCGGAGAAGAACGCCCGTGCCCAGGAACGGGAGGCGAAGCGCGCCAAAAAGGAGGAAGAAGCCCAGAAGGCGAGGGTGGAGAAGGAAAAGAAGGAGCGGGCTCAAACGAAGCTAAATTCGTTCTTCATTATCCCTTCCGCGGCATCGTACAAGAAGACCCCCGAGTCGAACGCCGACGGTCGCGGCAAGGCCGACGTCAAATACGAAGACGACATGGAATCGGCCGCCCGATCAGCGAAAAAGCAGGCCACCGAGACTGCGTACGAAAAGCTTTTCCTCCCCTTCAACGTCAAGAAGGACGTTCGCATGGCCGAGAATACCTTCCCCCTCGGCGACGCCGCCCGCGAGGCCAGGTCCAGGATGCTCGACCAGTACCTCTCCGCCCGGCCCCAGACCTTCACCCTCGGCCGCCTGGCCGCCGAGACGTTCGGCTTCGGCAAAGACCCGGCGCCGCGGGGCAGGCTCCACAAGCCGGTCCGACGGACCATCGAGCGGATGCAGGAGCGCAGCAAGAAGGCCCAGGCGACGGGGAGCCTCGAGGACCAGGAAGCCATCCGCCGCCAGATGCGCGCGGAGCTGGCCAAAGTGCCCGTGAAGTACCTCTGCTACCGGGAGGACGTGCGGCCGGCGTACCGCGGCACGGTGACCGAAGTCCCCGCCGCGGCGGGGGAGGGGAAGATGCGGAAGCTGGCGCGGCGGCCGAACGCGCGGGTCATGCCTGTGAACTATGACTACGATTCGGAAGCCGAGTGGGTGGATGAAGAAGGAGAGGATCTGGACCTGGATGACGACGACGACGAGGATATTGATGATGGGGAGGGCGTGGGTGACCTTATTGACGACTCCGAGGCGGTCGATCTCACGCGGTTTGCTGCCAATGGTCTCGAGCCCGAAAGCACCGGTCTTTGCTGGGAGGATTCCCGGTTCGTGGGCCCGGAGGCGAAGATGCGTGGCTATCGAATGGAGTTCATCTTTGGCGGTAAGTGTAGTGTTCCCCTCTTTCCACCTCCTTCCACGTATACTGGGAGACACCGCGGGTCTAATATTTCGGTGCGTGTCGTGTCATGACAGATCATCTCGAGCGAAACCAGAGCATCGACCCCTTCTCAACGGCGTACTGGCCCGACCCCAAGACCAAGACCAAGACGGCCGAGCGGACAGCGGCGGACGGGTCGTCGGGCACAATGACAAAGGCGGAGAAGAAGGCGAAAAACGAAACCGCGAGCGCAGGCATCCCGGCGGGGATGGCGCACAGCGACGTGGTGAAGATCAAGAAGGCGATCAAGGCACATGTGGAGGCGGCACCGCGGATATCCAAGATTGGCTTGATAGAGTATCTCAAGTCTAGTGCGGTTGACGGTATCAAGGTCAAGGGGAAGGATATCTCGAGCAGGGACCTGAAGGAGGTGGTGGAGATGCTGGTGGAGCGGAAGGGGAAGAAGAGTAAGGATGTGGTGTGGACTTTTCGGCCTGGGTATGATTGAGGTTGGGGTATTTTTTTTTTTCTTTTCTTCTCCTTTATCCCGACATGGAGACCAGTAGTACATTTTGGCGAGGCGATGGCGGCGTTGATTATTGGTTTGTGCGGACATAAACACATTTGACGGATATGATCAAGCACAGGGAGGGAAGACGGCTGGGATTCTTCTAGGCATGGACCGGGGGAGGTCCCAAGGCACTATGAACCAGAGACACTGGGGCTTCTGGTCTTTGTCTCATATCTGGACCGCCTGGTTGGCATGGTTCTGTCATCACTAGAGTGTATATAGGGTGTTATAGGCAGCATTTTGGGGCTCCAGGGGTTTGTCCGGCGTCTCTCGTGTCCCGTCTGGCAATCGAGACGGGCATGAGAGCGACGTATTTGGACTTGGACATTCGAGACCTAGATATTATAGGGCAACTGAACGAAAAACCATGGATTCCATCCAACCTTGTTTGTTATTTCTTGATAATGTTCGTGATCATAACTAATGTGGTGTTCTAGAGTAAGATGATCATGAGAGATGCATCACCATTCATACAATGGCTAATATGTATTCCGTAAGGTAAGAGATAATCAGTAGTACGAATGGTCAAACCAACCCCGTCCATAGAGGCGTATATCCTCAAACGGGTTCCCCAGGGTGAACCTCCTCCGTTCTTTGGCCCCGCGCTCCTCATCCACCCTCGAGATGAACCCCCCGCAGGTTGAATGAAATGTGTGCCAGCCGCGCAAAACGACGGCAAACTGGGGCTTGAAAGGCGGCAGCCTGAGAACGTCATGGCCGTTCTCATCTTCCAGTATATCCATCTCGTACTTGCCCTCCACATTCCCCACGCTCACATTCGTCACCACTGGCGCGTCGCTCTCGTCGGTCTGCTGCTGCGACTGCTGCGACTGTTGCTGCTGCTGCTGCTGCCGCGCCGGCCACCACGCGGGCGCCGAACTCCTCCCCGTGCGCAACCGGACCTCGCGCCAGCTCCACAAGCCTTCCTCGCCGCAGGGGAAACTCACGACGAGCTTGTCGGCGACGGAAGGCGGGATGGCGGCCCACATGGCGCGGAACTGCGGGAGCAGGCGGCGGGTGACGGGGCAGTCGCCGTCCATCCAGAGGGAGATGCGGCGCAGGCGCGGCATGTGGGTCGGGGAGACGGCGTGCCAGACGCCGGCACCGTTGAAGTAGAGGAAGTCGGCGGCGTCGCGGCGGAGGGAGATGTTGAGGGTGCGGATGCGGGGGAGGAAGGCGGCGATGTTGGTTGCGGGGCTGCCCAGGGCCGGTTTTGGGTAGGCAGGTGTGGTCGTTGTGTCGTCGTTGTTGTTCTTGTTGTCGTTGTTGTCGTCGTTGTCGTTGTCGTTGTTGTCGTCGTTGTCGTTGTTGTCGTTGTTGTTGCGGCTGTAGTCGTCGTCGGCTGTAGGATTCGTGTCTCGTTTGGTTCGCGGTGATGCGGGTAGGTAGGTGTGCGTCTTGGTGGACCAGTAGAAGCGAGACTTCGATGGCCTCACGGGGCCTTTGGGTCCTGGGCGGATGAAAAGGGCGAATAAGGTCTCTTTGTCGGTGATGGTGAGAGAGGTGGCGTTGTGTAGGGCTGGTAGGGCCTCGGCGTACCTAAAGACAGGTCACATTTCTTTTAGTCACTCATCACAAAAATCCCACGTCACACGTGTAAGTGGAATGAGGGCCAAGATTCGTGGGGGATGCAAATGTCTGTGTTCTCGTGATGTGTTTCGACCCACGTGCTTTGGACAGCGAAGGCATGGAGCTGAGTTGTGATAATGCAAGGGCGATAAAGGGGGGGGGGGGGCTAAAGAAGAAAAGGGGGTGGCAGGGGAGATGTGATCAACAGTTGAGACATCACCCACACCCAAAGGGGAACAGGAACCCAGTAGATAACGCAAAAGAAAAAAAAAGAAAAAAAAAGAAATCAAATCACAAACTTACATTCGCCTGCAAGAGGTCAGCAACGAGACGCATCTCATGGCTCCCCCCTCAGCTGCGCTGCCATCCAGACCGATCCTCTCCCGCGCCTCGGATCGTTTCCGCATGGCCTCCTCACACGGCCAGTGATTGCACCAGGAAGAAGTCATACGGTCAAACCAGACCTGGTGGTACTGCACGGCGGGCGTGGGCTGGAAATCCACGGCAAGACCCTCCTGGCACGCGTCGCCCGGGGCGTCATGGTCGACGACGCAAGGGGCCATGCGGTACTCGCCACATGCATCGTCCAGGAAGACGTGGCAGTTGAAGCAGGAAATGCGCCAGTACTCCTGGTAGATGAGGTCGCGGACCTCGGGGGGCAGTTTGCGGAAGAAAGGAGATTGGTCTTGGGCATGGACTTGTGATGACTCCGATAAGACGAAGGGGGAGGCGTCGGAGGACACGGAGGTTGGAGAGGAGGCGGTGCTGCGAGTGCGAGTGTGAGGAGATGAAGTGGGAGGAGGAGGGGTCTGCTTTCCCATATCGAAGCCAACGCTCGTGCTAGGCCGGGGTGCCCGTGTCTCCTCGTCCGCGGAGCCGGGTCCGGGTCTTGCCGTGCTGCTGGTGCGGGCGGATGGCGAGAGGAGCCGCCTGGCTCTCTGGGATACCCAGCGACGACGGGGCGGCGTGGACGACGACCACGACATACAAGACATGGCTGTCCGATCTTTCGGGTCGGCAAGGTAGCAGATCCTCCGTGAGGGAGTGATTACCGGTAGAAGAGAAATCAAATCTCAGCCCGAGAAAAGAAAGAGTTCCGGGATCTCGGGTGTGTCCAGGACGAGTTGAGGCCAAAACGAAGCTGTCACCCAGTATCGAGGAACAAGAGCGACCCGGAAAAGGATGAATGACAATATTGATTACTTGGTACCAGGTAATAGGGAGAGAAAGTAGAGACGGGGAGGGGAGAGAGAGGTGCCACCACGTAAAAACAGACGCTATGAATGTTTGGAAATGAGGGCTGAACGCCGCAAACGGCCGTACCCGAGGAGGGGAGCAAACATGATATATCCGAACCCCGGGCCACGAGGACAAAATGTGACCAGGGCAAGACACGGCGAGACACAGGGCGACAGGAATGCGGGCGTCTCAGTCTCACCCTTGTGTCTTTCTTTTTTGTTGCCTGGCATCTGCCCTCCATTCGTTGGACGGCAGAAGAGATGGCGCGTCACGACATGGACTCACCAGATCGAGCCTCGGAATTAATGCGGTTATTTTTATTCGTCTACCCCTTTCGTAGGCCGATGAGCTTCGCTTCGGAGAGGGGGGGGGGGCTGCTCATGCCAACGTAGACAAGGCTCGACTAGAGGGCGGGCCGCAGGCATAGGTAAATGGATGATATATCACCAAAGGGGGCCTGATGCACGAGAACGAGACCGTGATGACCATTCCTGCAGGATAGAGACGCAGGCTAACTCAGGATGTGATGGCTTCGTGTCACAGTCCCGAGTTGTCGGGACCAGGAGCTTCCTGGCATGAGCCAACCACGTAGCGAGGCACCACCTCGCACAGCTCACCCGTGTGTGCATCAGCAAGGTGCCTGATTTTTATTTTTATTATTTTCTTTTTGTTGAGCAATGCCCCCGTTCGCAGCGCTTTTTTGAGCTGCGGGCAAGCGGCGGTTGGCTTACTGTGCGGACGGGGGGCGGTGACGAAGGGGGCCGGGGGGCCAGTCACTATAGTCTACAGGGGTCGAATTGGATGCTTCTGCCCAGAGAGCTTTAGAAAGGGGTGGGTTGGTGTAACATAACGAGCTTGGACATCGATAAGTTGAGGTGTGGGAAGCGTCACGTTTTAATGGCTTTGCAAGTCATGGCATGCAGCTCAGAAGGGGGTCTGGACCAAGCTGATGAGTGGTGGACAAGACAATAAAAAAAAGGGGCGAGAAAGAGGGAAGAGGGAAACAAGGGGATCGAGCTGTTGGAGTGGATGGAACGAGAAAAGAAAATAACAGGAAATACGAGAGGAACGTTTCCGTTCCGTTTCCCCTTAAGCTACATAGGCGGTCTGCGTGAATGCGCAAACAGGTGAATAGGCGGGGATAAGAGGAAGATAATCCCGGTGTTGGGGGGGGGAGGGCAGGGGGTTGAATGCCTCCCTTTTGTGCTCCGAGACATAAGTCTACATAACACAACCAACCATCGGCAGGCCCGTCTCCAAGAGAAACGGATTCGGGGCTGGGCAATGTCCGACAAGAGATCGGCCGAGTGAGTTCAAGTTAAGACGGGCGGTTACGCAGCTCGCCTTTTGCCTTTGCCTGCCTTGTTACCTATTCGCACCTAGTCTGATGTCTTGGGACGACCACAGCGGCCTGCAGGGGTTCGGGTGGAAAAGCGGAATGCTGCCTTCACTGTTGGACCTTGTGGTGGCTTAAAGACTTGAATAGAAAACGAACTTGGGAATGCGCTGGGGCGAGGAAGGACAATGAAAACTACCGCCGAAGGAAGGATTCCCCGTGACCTTGAGTTTCAATTATTATTATACTATCGGTTAATTACGTGGTAAGGTATGGACGGAGCACGGTTATCTCACCTTACATATGCAGATTACTCATGCGCTTCCGGCAAACGTTGCTTCTTAGGGCCATTCAGATGAGATCGTGCCTCAGCCACGGCCCGAGAGGGCGAGAGGGGGGCGCGAGCATGATTTGGGACGAGTGGTCTTGAGAGGTCTTGAGAGGTCTTGTCGACCCCACCAATCGAGGGGTGTCAGGTGCAAGCTGTGGTGCCATGTTACCCGTGTCGATGCGCGTCGCGAATAGATGAGCTGACCAAGTCGCCGACTGAAGCGTTTCTTCCGCGGTCAACTGTGGAGTACTGTGCGCAACAGAGGACGAAGCGGCGGTGCCAAGCAGGAACTGACTTTTACTTCTTTCGCGCTTGGTTAGAGGAGAGGGTGAGAAGGAAAGAAAAAAAAAGAGAGAAGAGGACTCCGCCTTGTGACTGCATTGCGCAGCCTCACCGGATGTGTTCACGGCTGCATAACCCTTGCATCCCTTACACTTATGACATACAATGTAATGACGTTGATGGCTCGTGACCACCGCCATTGCCGCATCGGATAGATTGCAAGGGGGGGCTTTCGGGGTGTGGTAGGTAATATGGTATGTGACAGTCGGGTAAGGTAAGGTAGTTGGCGAGAGTTCAGTTCTCTTTGGATGGGGGCCAGGAAGCGGGGGAGGCGGGAGGTGGGAGGTGGGAGGTGGGAGAGGGGAGAAGAGGGAGCTAGGGTAAGGCCGTCTCGGCGGGTGATTTACGGACCCGAGTTTTGGGGAAGCCCGAACGAACTTACCGTATAATGAGTAACTAATCAGAGAGGGGCCGGGGATTTCGTCTGGCATACCCAAACCCAAGAAATTTCCCCTTTCCCCTTAAGATGACGGATGATGTCGCCCGCGATCGATAGTGAGGGTAGGATTCGACGGAGAAAACTACTCGAAAGGGTGTCGACATTGATCGCCGTCGGTCATGTCGGAAAACAGGTAGCCTCCACCTCCAACCTCCAACCTCCAACATGCCCCGAGTCTTCCGGCCGAGTCTTAGCATGATCCTTCGAATGTACGTGTAGTTAGAATGAAACTGGAAACTGCATGTGTGAAGCTGTGACAGCCTTCCGGTGACGAGTGACGATAAAGCGAAACGAAGTACGAATATAAAGTATTCGTTCCCCGTACGAGCTGGGACAAAGTTCTTTGTTTGCCCTTCGTCCTTGGTCCTCCGTCCTTGGTACGTACGGGCGCAAAGAAACGCCTGCAGCGATATCGGAAACAGGCGACACTCTTCTGTACAACGTAAGATGAACGGATGACCGCACAGATCCCCGAGGTGACACCACGGAACCTGTCAGAATATAAATAAGGTTCGGAAAAATATATATGTATTTATCTAAGTGAAGTTTATAGTACTTCACGGGGATATCTAACTATTAGGAAAAATAAGGGGAAATAAGTATGGATATATAGGATCGAGGTACCGTATAAGTCTAATATAATATGGTTTGTCACACCCCGATAAGGTGGCTAAGGGTATCTGACAGAACCAATGTAATAGAATAGAAGAAGAATGTGTTTAGATAAAGCTCGATCATTGGTCCATAAACCCCGATACCCAAGCCACGAGTTTGGAGATGTTACCCCACTACTTTCCTATATCGGACACTGAAAGCGAGTACGATGTACAGGTACCACTTGGTGACTCGTGCGGCCTGTACAGAGCAAGGTAATGAATGTAATAATCAGGGAAAGAGCGACCCAGTGATGGTGACATGGTGTAAGATCCGTCACGGGCAAGGCCAAGGAAGGAAAAGGAAAAAAAGAAAAAAAAAAAAGATTGCCCACCATGATAGTCGTCTTTTCCCCCCCCTTCCTCCCCAGAACAAACGATCATGAACAATGATCCCTCGTCTCTCCCCTTATCTTCGGGTCGATTCTACTCGCCACACTCCGCTCTTTAGGTCAATCTATGTCTGATCGGCGCGAGCAAACAAACGCCCAGGCCCCAATAAGCATTCGCCGCCTCTCGTTCCTCTCGTTTCGCTTCACGCTATCACCCGGACGGCCATGTTACGCTCGTGATACCCGTCCTTGCTCCCGTTGCTCCCGTCTTACCCACGCGTCGTCCTCGCTTCTCCTCTCCTTGGGAGTCTCTCGTTCTCGTGTTGACTCCTCAGCCATGAAGTTTGCAAAGGAGCTCGAGCAAGAACACGTTCCTGGTATTTTGCCTCCTCAGTTATTTCCCTCCTCACCCCGCTCAGCCTTGCTCAGCTCTCTACCATCTGCCTATCGACATCTATCTATGCACCTACTTACTTAACTACTTGCCTTGGCCTTCTTTTCTCCCTCCTCCCCCATTGACATCACATCCAATTACGTTGTACAATCATCTTTCCCCCCTACCTCGGTGCCATAACCCCTCCTCACTGGACCGTTCGCTGACATGCCGACGTACCTTGAAAGAATGGCGGGCCAAGTACCTCGACTACAAGGCTGGCAAGAAAAAGGTCAAGGCTGTCTCTCGTGCCTACCATCGCGCACCACCCACGCCTTCCACCACAACCGGTGGAACCGTCAGTGCTAACCGAACGCCTTTCTCCGCCTCGATCTCTGCCGCCAGCCGACCATGGGATCGTTCGCCCGCCCAGTCTCAGTCCAAGGCCCAGCCGCATCTTCGCCTGCCCGACGAGACAACCCGTCTTCGCCCTCCGCAAACCAGCAGCTCCTCTCCCGGCCTGCCTATTACTCACCCTCACATACACAAACCGAACGATGATTCCGACCGCGCCGGCCATCTGGGCAGCGGCACCCAGGTCCGGGATATGCAATATGGCAGCTTCGGTCTCACTCCCCACCTGCCTACCACACCTCAGTCCCTGGGCCGAATTCAGTCGAACCGGTCGTTTGAGCTCCCCGGCCCCGCCATCGGCGTGCCCTCCGACCCAGCCAGCCCGCGCGACGATACCGGCCCCCTCAATTACTCGCCCCGTCCCGACCGACGCCCTCGGCCCCCGCCACCCGATCCGAAGCGAAGCATGTCGGCAGCCGGTCTCCCGACCACCTCGCATCTGACCCCTTCCCTCAGTCGGGCATCAGAATATCTGCCTGCCACCGCCGGTACGCCTCCGGCCATTTCGCCGCGTCACCGGCTTCATCGCATGATCTCCGCCGCCCTACCCACCAAGTCCCCGCGCATCGCCGACATAGGAATGCAGGTACTGGCCTTGGACATCTTTCGCCAGAAAGAGAAGGAATTCTTCGACTTTATGGCCTCCGAACTCCAAAAGGTCGAGTCGTTCTACAAGCTGAAGGAAGACGAGGCCGGCCAGAGGTTGGTCGTCTTGGAGGACCAGCTACGGGAGATGCGGAACCGCCGCGCCTTGCAAGTCAACGAAGAGAGACAGAAGCGAAAGCAGGGCCCGTCCAACGGCGACACCGGTGAGCCGGACGGTAAACCGACAGGCCCGGCCGCAGGCGCAGGCGCAGACCCAGGTTACTTGGACCAGGTCAAGTCGAAGATCTTCCGCCCCGGTCCCAACTCGAGGGCCCTGTCCAGGATGATCCAGACACCCGTCCTTCACCCGCAGTCCCAACCCGGTCTAGATCTCGGCCGAGACTACGTCCGCCGACCCGAGAGCACCCAGGGGCCCCCTTACAAGACGGCCAAGCGGAAGCTCAAGCTCGCCCTGCAGGAGCTCTACCGCGCCATGGAGCTGCTCAAGTCGTACGCCCTGCTCAACCGCACCGCCTTCCGGAAGCTCAACAAGAAGTACGACAAGGCCGTAGAGGCCCGCTCCTCGAACCGCATGCGTTTCATGAACGAAAAGGTCAGCAAGTCCTGGTTCGTCAACAGCGAAGTCCTCGACCGCCACATGAAGACCGTCGAGGACCTCTACGCCAAGTACTTCGAGCGCGACAACCACAAAATCGCCGTGAGCAAGCTCAAGTCCCTGATCAAGCGCCGCAAGGACGAATCGAGCAGCTCCTTCCGGAGCGGCGTCTTCCTGGGCACCGGGCTCGTCTTTGCCGTCCAGGGCACGACTTTCGCCGTCCAGCTCCTCTTCGGCGACGACGACACCCTGGCCCAGCAGACCGCTTACCTGCTTCAGATCTACGCAGGCTACTTCCTCATGCTCTTCCTCTTCAGCCTCTTCGTCGTCAACTGCTACGTCTGGACCAAGAACAAGATCAATTACCCCTTCATTTTCGAGTTTGACCAGCGCCACCATCTCGACTGGCGCCGCCTCGCCGAGTTCCCCAGCTTCTTCCTCTTCCTGCTCGGCGTCTTCCTGTGGTTGAACTTTAGCCGCTACGGCTCGCCTGCTCTGTTCTTGTACTATCCCGTCATGCTCATTGGCCTGTCGGTCGTCATCATCTTCCTCCCGGCGCCTATCCTCGCTCCGAGCAGTCGAAGATGGTTTGCATATGCTCATGTAAGCGCTCATCTCTGCCATTGGTCCTGGTTTACCTTACTTGTATGCTAATGCGCTCGCTCTAGTGGCGTCTTTTGCTCGCCGGCCTATACCCAGTCGAATTTCGTGACTTCTTCCTCGGCGATATCTACTGCTCCCTGACGTATGCCGTTTGCGTAAGTTAATTCTCATTCTACCCCCTCCCTTTCTTTGGTGCCATCGCTCTAGGCCCATTGCGCCGGGTAGCTTGCTGACCCTGGGCCACAGAACGTCTCGCTTTTCTTCTGCTTGTATGCAAACCACTGGGACGACCCACCCCAATGTAATTCTAATCGTTCACGCTTGATGGGCTTCCTCGCCGCGCTCCCGCCTATCTGGCGGTTCTTCCAGTGTCTTCGTCGATACAGAGACACGAGAAATATCTTTCCCCACCTTGTCAACGGTGGGAAGTATTCAATGTCCATCATGACGGCCGTCAGCCTTTCAATTTATCGCATTCAAGGAAGCCGCGGCAACTTGGCCTTCTTCCTTGTCTTTGGCCTAATTAATGGCCTTTATACATGTATGTACTCCCTCACCCCATGCCTCCGTCTCTCTTTGGTCCCCCATGATCTCCATGCTGACACCCCACAAAGCTGTCTGGGATTTATTTATGGATTTTTCTCTACTCCAACCAAATGCGCATCAACCTCTCCTACGCGACATCACAGCGCTTAAGAAGCGCTGGGTATACTACGTAATCATGGTGGTTGACCCCGTCCTCCGCTTCGCCTGGATCTTCTACGCCATTTTCGCCCACAACCGCCAGCACTCCACCATCGTCTCCTTCCTCGTCGCCTTCGCCGAAGCCTTTCGCCGCGGCATCTGGGCCCTCCTCCGCGTGGAGAACGAACACTGCTCTAACGTAGCCGTGTACAAAGCCTACCGCGACGTGCCCCTGCCGTATCGCCTCCGGCGGCCCCTCGTCGAGCGCCCGTCCGAAGAGGAAGAGGAAGAAGAAGAAGGAGAAGAGGCGGTGGCACCCGAGGCGGAGGGAATATCTCCCCGCCCCGAGGGAGAACGCAGGCGGGTACCTGTAACTGGCGAGGCGGAGGCGACGGGCGTGCAGCGGGCCGGGTTGTACGCCATACAGGACGAGGAAGCGGCGGCTGGCCTTGCCGCAGGCGTCGAGCCACCTGAACGGCCGAGCACGCTCAGGCGGCGCAAGACGGTCGAGCCGATGAGGCCGGTGCGGAGATTCTCGCGCATCTTGGCCGATGCGCATCTGCAGGACTTTGAGAAGAGGAGGAAGCCGACGAAGGGGGATGCCGAGGGATCGGAAGAAGTGGAACATAGAAGCGCGCATAGCGATGACGACGACGATATAGACGAAGATGAGCTGGATATAGATGCGGAGGATGAGGAAAACGGGATACACGGGGATGGATTTTGGAGGTCGAATGATGGGGGACATGGAGGTGGTGCTTCGGGGGCCTAAAAGGGGTAAAAGGAAAGGCAATTCCGAAAGGTCATGCGTTGAATGCCGATATATATATGTATAGAAATGGTTGGCATACCATGATTCCGATGTACGGATAGTGTCAATATTGAGTGTACTTTATTTCTAGATATGTGTCTACCTGTGTATCCAAGGAAATGCATAGCACATCATGTCATGCTCTGGGG